AAGCGAGGGGAGGTAAAAACTGATACATAGTCCTAGCAGCCATGGTTTTTGTTTACATGTGGTAAGATCCGAGTTACTGTTTGAAGTTAAAGGTACATTTATTAAATCTGGAATTTTCCGTGAATCCCGAGGACTGGAAATGAGAGGATTGCATGGATACAGACGATTCAGCTGGTTGTCAGGGGGGGGGGGGGTGTCCCCATACCAAACCAGGTAATACAGAAATAATTTGTGTTCCTTTTTGGATATTAACCAATCAGAGGCTAGAATACAAACAAAATTAAATTATTTTTGTATATCTTATACATGACAATATCTACTATGTGTATGTATATTTTGGTCAAAATCGTTCGAACAGAATGTGGACAGGAAGTTCCTAAAGTTACGCCCCTTTGGCTGATCACGAGTACAAAAAAATTTCAACCAACTAACTATAAAATCCCTTATTTTGAAATATTTAAGGTTAGCCTAGCTGTCAGAATTTGCTGAATCGTTTGTGTAACTATTAAACACACAAACAAAGTGATTTTGTAGAGGTACACATCGAGAAAAATGATTTTGAAGAATTTAAACTGAAAAACTATGGTTCATTTTTGCATTGAAAAATGCGTGATTTTCAAATGAAATATTTTTTTATGAAAAAATCTGTCGTTTAATTTTGAAAAAAAATAATTAATTCTTGTAACTGATGATCAAAATGTTCTTGATAATTTTTTGAATTTTTTTTAGTCGACGCGTTTTGAATTTATAGCGGAAAATCTCCCCTCCCCCTCTCTCCGTTAGTTATGTTTCTAACAGCGTCTTTCAGACTTGAGACGAAAGCAATGCTATGATTCTACAAATACAAATAAAAATTCCTAGCTGGAAAATATCTTTTACTTAAAAAGTAATGTACATTCTATTTATCACAAGTATAAAACTTAAAATCTGCATTAAAATGCAGATGAATAAGCAATTTTTGAAATTTTAAGACCCCCCCCTTTCCATTCTTCTCTGCAATGCAGGACATTCGAGCTTGAAAAAAAAAATCGGTTATGTCTGCATAATATATATATATATATATATATATATATATAATTGGCATATTGAACTCCTAAAGTAAATTGTAATGTCCTTCATTCGTGTATACAGATTCAATATTGACTACTAATATTTTTTGTTATTCTAAATATTATTTTTTTATATTTATATTTAGTATAACTACTTTTTTAATGATTTGATAACCACGTGTCCGGTTTGGCAATCATGCACACAGGTGCAGTTTCAAACCTTTATATGACTTCTACTTGCAATGAATATTATTTTTAAGTGAACCAGCAGTGCTGTATGTACAACTCTCTTGTGATGAAAATGGAATATATGTACATATAGGTTTAAATTATTTCTGTTTTCAAACGAGAGGGGTGCCCCCCCCCCCCCCCCCCGATATCCTTCTGTTGTTTCAATAAATGGAAATGATGTATTCGTCCGTATTAACTTCAATTGTACCAAATTTAAATTATTTATCAATATTGAAATTATTCATGTGCCTGAATCATTTACAATGGTATCATCTACATTGGTATCAATCGTTTTGTTTTTATTCGAGGAATTTCGAACTGAAACTGTTTACAGTAAAAGATTTTCTCAATGGGGTGCAACCGTTGTATTAATTTCTGTAAATAATTTTTCACTATTGATACTTATTTAATTTGTATAAACTTTGGCTTTCAGTTCTTGTGTTCCTTGCAACACACTGTAAATTAATGTATCTGTGTATTTGTGAGGGGAAAAAACCCACAATTCTTCGGAAAACAGGAGGAATAACTCAGCTAAGGGGAGGAAAGACATACACCTCTACATTTTTAGAGTTGTTTCTCTTTGATCAGTGACCTTCTGAAAACGGGTACTCTTTTTAATTCTTTTTTTTCAAAAAGGAAAGGAAGAAAATGTTTATTTTCGTAATATGATGATATTTAGACATACCGGTAATATTTATTCTCAAACTTATGCGGCCGATTGTAACGGGAAAAAGCAATGTAGAGTAGCATTAACATTTTTAGATTAAAATATTTCCTTTGTATATATGGTAAATACAATATTAAAGAATTAATTAACTAAATTTAAATTTAAAAAGTTTAAGGAACCTGTCTTTCTTCTTTTTTATGGAGGGGGGGGGGATTTATTGCGCAATTGATCAAGGATAGGATTTGGTATTCAAATCCCAAAGAAACCACAATAAAAACCTCTATTCTATTTTTTTTTTTTACATTAATTACATCGGGATCGTATCGCTCGTCATTTTGACGCTTCGTAATTAACGTCAAATTTAACGTTATGTTAAACGTTTTATTGAAATCGCAAGAGTAATCTCCCCCAGTGTGTTGTACGTCTTTAAATGTCCACGATTTGGTCGGCTGACCAGAAGTGGACAGACTTTACCAAGTTACGCACATAGGAAAATGTTTAGATTTACATTGAAATAACTTTCAAATACGAAATATTTTAGTCCATTTGATAGTTACGATAACACAGTAATACTTCACATAAATAATAAACACCTAACAAGATAATAGGGTATGATATATGAAATGAAGTTTCAGTAGTTTTGAAAAATTGCTTTCGCTCCCAGTGGAACTCAACCAAAATTTTTCTCTTTTAAAACTTATAAATCAGTAAATAAAATTCACTTGATTGTTTGTAATAAGAAAAAAAAATAAATTGCTCCATTCGAGGATCGAACCAAAAACTTCTCGACTCCTTAGTGCGCTGGACTGGTAACGCATACTAGTGAGCTATCATCGCAACACAAACACTCAGGAATTTAAAATGACAAAGAGGCAACGCATTTACACATTGGTATTTTTTGGAAAAAGTTCATTTTTTATAGTCTCTGGGTCTTCTCTCTTTTTTTACAAATGTTTGTTCCTTTCTTTTTCCTGTTCACACTTTTAACTGTTACTTTCTTCCTATAAACTACAAATAAAGAAAATTTTTTTTGGATTATGTCTAATGAGAATGATATATTGCTTATCAAGCTGGGTAATTTTCTAATCAATATTTTTAAAATAAGAAATAGTGAATTATATAATGTTAAAAAGAACCAAATAAATGCAAAAGAGTAATAATATTAAATTATTAATACTCTAGTACAAATATACATGTTACAAATCTTTGTACGTTTGCTAATTATATATATATATATATATATATATATATATATATATATATATATATATATATATATATATATGACATATGGCTTTAGGAGACCAAGGAGGATATATTTTCTGGCTTAGGGAGACCACTGGATTAAGGCGACCTTTTTCGGTCTCCCTATTATTTTGACCTCATCAGTATTGCAAATGTCTTTTTATAGATAAATAAACAGTCTGCCATTAAATATTATTAATCTTTAACTCTGTTATTTAACATTCAAAAGTTGTCTAATTTCTATCATCTTCCCTAAAAAAGAAAAGAATTTATAACCTACGTATAATTTCAAAGGATAATTTTTCTGCATTTTGGAGACCATGAAAAACATGCAATTAAACAAAAAATCTAGCATATATATTTTTTCCGCTTTTGATTTGTTCAAATGAGTGTTTCTTTAACTTAGTTTTCCATGTTTTATGTTAAAAACCTAAAAAGGAAAAATATTGTAAATTTATGAACCATGTTTTGAATTCTTAGCAAGTGCTTTCCGTCATTTGTTCCGAATGCCATCGGAATGCCCCTTCAGTTTTCAGAAAATGACCTCTAAACACCATGGATGTTGAGAAATTTGGGTAAGTAACTAAAATGATACAGTAATAAGTTGTAATTAAGAATACACAAGACAAACATTCGTTTTTGTTTTTTTTTTGTTTGTTTTTTTTTGCCTAGTAATTTAGCTTTCAAGAGAAAAAGTATGATTTTAAATAATCGTTGGACTATAGTTCGGTATATAAAATCCTGAAGGAAATTCGAAATAAAGTTAAATGATAGGCCCCTTTATTTTTTTATTCTTTTATGCAAGTCCACAAACAATTTAAATATTTAAAGATTAGGCCGAACGTAGAAAAAAATACCGGTAGTCTCGCAAGTTGACGCAGCTATTTCGAGCTTAAAAATTTAAATTAAACTTTCTGTAAACATCATGCAGTACATGATCATCATGATATAGTATAAATGAAACAGACCCTGTAAGAAAAAAATAGCTGTAATTTAATAATTGTTTATTAATATAATGTGATCCTCTGCTAATAGAATATATATGCTGTAAAAAAAAATCTGAATCAGGGTGAAGCAGATTTGATACAATACATGGCTGAAGGAACGGGGGGGGGGGGGGGGCAGGCCCCCTGTAATTTTGCTGAAATTTAGGTATACTATAGAAAACATTGCTCCTTTATGCTTGGGCCCCCTCAATAATAACCTCTGATAATGTATTTTTCTTTTGCTTATTAAAAAATTTTTGGTTTGTGGCCTCCCCCAACCTGAAACTGAAAAATGTTGTTTGGTTGTGCTCACCCCCCCCCCCCCCCTTCTCCAACTAAATTACGTACGGGCCTATTCTCCATCCCTGAGGTTTTCTTTCACCAAAGAAAGATTAATTGGTAACAGTTCAGATATATATAGCAATATTTACGGAAGGGAATATTCTCGTTTAATTATGAAGATGTGACAGTAACTCAGTCAAAGCCACAGTGAGTGTAACATTTATTTAATATTATTGTTAATGTTTACAAATAGTGAAATACTGATACTATGAAAATTTAATGGATAACAGTATAGAAAATATACAAGTACAACCATTTATTGTAAATCGCATACATGAAAAGCTTCTTTTTTTTCAAGCAATTGGAAATTCTTTATTTTTTCATGAAATTATTTTATTTCGTATGTATGATAATTTATTTCGTATTTTAATTCAGTCAACAAATCATTGTCGCAGCCTAGTTCCCTTCATTATTTTCAGCAGCTCAGTGACAGAGATAAAATGATCATTTGAGGTTTATACCCCCCCCCCTCCCCACCAAATGAAACTGAAAAATGTTTGGTTTTGGTCCCCTTCAACTGAAATTGATTCCTACTTACCATGCTTACAGGCTAACTGTGAAGATGTGACAGGGAGTGTAATAACAATAATTGTTCAGACAGATACATATTAAGCTGATATACGTATCAAATTTTAATGGATAGATAGAAATTAATAAACAATTACAACCATTTATTATAAACTACATAAAGATAATTTTTCAAGCAATTTGAAATTCTTCATTTTTTATGATAATATTTTATTTCGTATATATATGTTTATAGGTTTATTCGTATCAACAAATCTGTGTACGAGTTAATAACGCAGCCTGGTTCCCTGCATTTTCAGTGACAGAGAACCAGAATAAGATTGCAGGGAAACAAGCCTTGTTACAAGGTTTGAGGTTTGTTAATTTTATATTTTAATTTACACTTTTTAAAAATTATTATTATTATGCAAAAATCTGTGTGCAGATGAATATTTACATTTTAATGTTATACAGCTGTTATAAGTCGTTTTGTGGTTCATTTATTTGCGGTGACTGTCCCACGTGTGTTTACCTGTTTACATTCACCTACTGACCTAGAGTCTTCAAAATATACCTTCTGTAATCATGACTGTTGTAATCTTGTTTTTATGTTAGTCTACCGTATGTAACTTGACTGTTGTATAGATTTATAGCGATCACTGCAAGCTTTTAATATTTAGGTGAAGAGAAATTTCAGACTATCAATCACAGGCACTTGTTTCATATACGGTGCACCCCTACTTATTTTTACCACAAGGTATCTAACTCAATTTCAGGCACCCCCGCTTCAAGCTCGTATTTTGTTCATGTATCATTATCAATCATTAACCTACTTTAAAATGACATCGTTCGCTTCAAGAGACTTTTTTCTTGTCAAATAAATCGTTTCAGACGTCTCTGGTCAATCCTCTTTATTGTAAACCACTCATTTATTCCTCGAAAATTACCTCGATACATTTTAAGACTTTAGATGGGATACAACTTCCAGTTGGGGGTAGAATAAAACCAGAGACTTTCGAGTATTCCATTCCGAGGTCTCTGGTTTTATCCTTCATTTATAACCCCAACCGCAAATTTGTATCGAAAAATTACCTTGATACATTTTAAGACTTTAGATGGGATACAAATTTCATTTTTTTTTCATAGGTCACGAGGTTTCAACTTAAAAAATAAAAATTCTCACCGTCAAGATATGTTGGAAATTTTAGCTTGATGTGTTGATAATTTGCCAAATTATTATGTAATAAAGGGGACTTTATATGATCACCCGGCGCTGTCGCTTTAGTTCAGTCTTCACAACAATTCTTTTTCAGCACATGCCCTTCGGGCATGTAGACCTATAATTTTTTCCCAGCCCATTCAAATTTGTACATGTCCTACTCAAAATTCTTACATTTACCAGTATTGTGCAACAAAAAAAACCATTAGGTATAAAGGTTTTATATTAATTTTTTCAGCGTCGTAAACCAACCATGGCCTGTGCTTGCCATTTTCTAAAGCGTTTTTGTTCATAAATAACTTTTGAGTTGCATGCTGGTCATTTGTTGGCCGGTTTAGCTGAACTGAATTTCAGAAATGGGATCATGACTGTAGTGCCACTGTATGTGGCATTGATGAACATCTCGAAATTTAGCAAGCAACTTCGAGAAAACAAATAGGTTAAACTAAACACGTCAATGATTAGATTGACAATCATTTGACAGGTCGTATCGAGAATGTAGACAGGCAATCCATCGACAATTACATATAGCAACGTTTAAGCGAATAATGGGGGTAGTACAGAATAAATGGCGAGTAAAGATCGTACAATGAAAGAAGATTCACATATGCCCTATTCGGACATGTAATTTGGCAATTTTTACATGCCCGGCTGCAAATGTTAACAGGTCCTGGCATTGGACTCCCGGGTTATTTGGAAGACTGTTAGTTTAGTTTCATGAGGTCCGACAACATTGATTCTCAATGTCTGCTCCCTCTACCCCATACACTTATCTTGATAAAATTATATAAATTATATTATTAATTATATAAATTGATATAAATTATATAAACCGGTCTTGTTTATATAATTTTACAATGTCACTGCTTAAGTGCATATAATATTGTAAATGGATTTATATATAGGATGAGGGAAAGATCCTCACTTGATTATGGCAGCATATTTAGCTCGTAGGAGTTTATTATCTACCACACATGATCAATGTCACTTTTGGACGTGAATGACTTTTGACACCCTAACTTCAGTTCAAATCAACGTTAACTTTATGTGACGTCTCTCTGAATCTTTTTTGGCATGTAACTTGGGTAAAAACAATTAAGTACTCTTGATGCATTTGATTTCTCTTAGCCCGTTTAAACATTTCCAAGGTCTATACCAGTTTTTGCAGGGGCGAAACTATGTAGAAGTTGGAAAAGAAACCCATCCCCTTTTTGACGTATTTGGTTTTTGAGGGGTGAAAATTTTCAATGTTACACTCAACTACATGCAATATTTATTATATTATACTGAATGTTTTATACAAATACAAATAATAGTGAACCTTGAGCGCATAAATCTGCGCAGTCACTGTTTTTTGGAATATCACCCGTCGTCAAGCAATGTTGACTGTTGCGACACTGGGCGTAGCTTCATTATTCAGCGGAATAAGTTAAGTGCTTTTTAACAAATGTTTCTTGACGAATCAGATCAATTCATCTAATATACCTGAAAGTACAATATTAATTAATTGTCATCATTTTCCTATATTAGCATTTTTACTGGTAATGGTTTTGAAATGATAGGAACATGCACTGTTCAAAAAGTCTTAAAATGTTGTTTTGGCTTAATTTCTTTGTTAGATTACTGTGTTGAACTAAGGCAGGTCAATTAAAGTAACATGATCCTATAGATTCCATGTACATTTAGTACTGTAAAGTAGATAAATTTATTGTTCTCACAAGTAGTTCTCAAACATTGATTTAAGTTGGTCTCCTGAAGGATGTAATAATGCAATTGGTCTGCTTAAGGTACAGTGTATAATATAGACATGCATATTTTATTTTGAATTTGTATTATGTCAATCATTAGAAATATATGGATCTTAATTAAAAAACATTGTTTTCATTAGAATTTAAGATATGTATAATAGGCATATATTCTTCATGCTTTTCCATAGTTAAGTCCTTTTTTACAGGGTCTCTGCTAGAATCATGTGGACCCCAGTGTAACAAATCTATGGAAAGAGAGAAAATCTCAGCTCAAGGGTCAACATGTCTTTATTCCAAGAAAGGTAAATTGATAATTTTTTCTGCTAAAATACTCTTTTATAAATTATAATATCAATGCAAAAGAAAGAACAAACAACATACCTAACAACATTTTGAAAATGGAAGTGCAGTAACAGTTAATAATTATGATCAATTGAATGAATGTTAATAATCCAATCAAAGTCCTTGTTGTATATAATTTTTGCTAGGGCTGTGTATTGAGCAAAAAAAAAAAAAAAAAAAAAAAGACATTTTTTAATACGATATGCAATATATTGAATTCTTTAACAATTCTGTCAAAAAAGTCTTATAAATCATTATGCATGAATTTTATAAAAATAATAATTGTTTTTTACTCATTTTTAATTTTTGTCTCACCGTCTTTAAAAATTACACTTCAAATTCAAACTTTTCTTGACTGTAAAATCAACATGTTAAGTAAAGTTGTCTATGTATTTTTATGATTTTGTAATAATCATCTAAGATGTGCTACCTCCTTAATGATTATATCATTTTTGATCAGTTTTAATTCAAAACAGTTAAATATAATCTTTGGTGATTGAAATTCCCAACTTTTTCACAGAATTACATAAAAAAACTGCCTGCCCAAAATGTATTGGAATTAAGTTATTTTTAGCTCACCTGAGCCAAAGGCTCAAGTGAGCTTTTCTGATCAAAATTTGTCCGTTGTCTGTCGTCATTGTCGTCTTTGTTGTTGTTGTAAACTTTTCACATTTTCATCTTCTTCTCAAGAACCACAGGGCCAATTTCAACCAAACTTGCCACAAAGCATCCTTGGGTAAAGGGGATTCAAGTTTGTTCAAATGAAGGGCCACACCCTCTTTCAAGGGGAGATAATTAAGAATTAGTGAAAATTTAGTGGTATCTTTCAAAAATCTTCTTCTCAAGAACCACAGGGCTGTAAAAGTTGAAACTTAGGTGAGACCTTCATTACATAGTGTAGATTCAAGTTTGTTCAAATCATGACCCCCAGGGGTAGGATGGGGCCACAAGGGGGATCAAAGTTTTACATAGGAATATATAGAAAAAATCTTGAAATTGCTTTTCTTAAAAACAACAAAGCCACAATTAGTCATAATTTATATGGAATCATCCTCAGGTAGTGTAGATTCAAGTTTGTACAAAATCATGACCCCCGGGCAGTGGGGGGGGGGGGGGGATGCAATGCGGGATCAAAATTTTACATAGGAATATATAGAAAAAAAATCTTTAAAAATCTTTCTCTCAAGAACAACAAAGCCACAATTAGTCATATTGATATGGAATCATTCTCAGGTAGTGTAGATTAAATTTTGGACTCCCAGGGGTAGGGTGGGGCTACAATGGGGGATCAAAATTTTACATAGAAATATGTAGAAAAAAATCTTGAAAAATCTTCTTCTCAAGAACAACAAAGTCACAATTAGTCATATTGATGTGGATTCATCCTCAGGTAGCGAAGATTCAAGTTTGTATCAAATCATGACCCCTCGGGGTAGGGTGGGGCCACAAGGGGCGATCAAAGTTTTACATAGGAATATACAGAAAAAAAACTTGAAAAATCTTCTTCTCAAGAACAGCAAAGCCTTGTTAAGTCATATTGATATGGAAGCATTCTCAGATAGTGTAGATTTAACTTTGTTCAAATCGTGACCCCCAGGGTTAGGGTGGTGCCACAATTGAGGATCAAAGTTTTACATAGGAATACATAGGAAAAAACTTCAAAAATCTTCTTCTCAAGAACAGCAAAGTCATGTTTTGTCATACTGATATGGAAGCATCTTCAGGTAGTGTAGATTCAAGATTTTTCAAATCATGACCCCTGGGGGTAGGGTGGGGCCACAATGGGGGATCACAGTTTTACATAGGAATATATAGGGGAAAAAAACTTGAAAAATCTTCTTCTCAAGAACAGCAAAGCCATGTTTTGTCATATTGATATGGAAGCTTCCTCGGGTTGTGTAGATTCAAGTTTGTTCAAATCATGACCCCTGGGGGTAGGGTGGGGCCACAATGGGGGATCATAGTTTTACATAGGAATATATAGGGAAAAAAACTTGAAAAATCTTCTTCTCAGGAATAGAAAAGCCATGTTTTGTCATATTGATATGGAAGCATCTTCAGGTAGTGTAGATTCAAGTTTGTTCAAATCATAAACCCCAGGGGTAGGGTGGGGCCACAATGTGGGATCAAATTTTTACATAGCAATATATAGGAAAAAATCTTTTCATCAACAGAAAAGCCATGTTTAGTCATATTGATATGGAAGCATCCTCAGGTAGTGTAGATTCAAGTTTGTTCAAATGATGGGGGGGGGGGGGGGTAGGGAGGGTCCACAATGGGGGATCAAATTTTTAACAAGGGAATATATAGGAAAAAAATCTTTAAAAATCTTCTGCTCAAGAACAGTAAAGCCATTTGTTATATTAATATGGAAGCATCCTCAGGTTGTTCAAAATCCAAGCCCCATCCCCTTTAAACTTTTCAATACTGAAGTGATTTGTGCTTTTTCCTAGCCAATGTGCTCAGGTGAGCGATGTGGCCCATGGGCCTCTTGTTTTTGATACGATATATTCATCAATCTAGATATGTATCGATATATTTGATGCAGCCCTAATTATTGCTGGTTCATAAAATAACTAAAAAATAAACAAATGCCAAATGTTGGCATGGTTGGCATTGCAACTGTATCTTACACATTCAAATCAGGCCATTCTTACGAGTTTTGGAACATGTTGGGTTCTTCACTAGTGCCGCTACTACAGAGAAGACAGCTTGTTTTCAAACTGTGTCATTCAAAGTTTCAATACATGAGAAACACAACAAATCTGAATGCTTAGCCATTACACTAAATGATGAATCTACTTTATTGTGTTATTTATTGACATTTGACAATCATGATTTATAAATCATTTTGAAATTTTATATGTATCATATTATATGGTCTGTGTATTATCCCAACCCTATATACCTACATATCACGATGTATCATTTCAGCATTTATTTGTTAGTTTCTATGTTCAAGATTGCTTTTGAGAATTTTTTTACTCATATTGAGATGCCACTGTCCCACCTGCCTGCTAACGTGGAAACAAAACTCCCCTCTGTAACAAAAGAGTGCACCAATGGAGATAATCTCAAAACTTGTGTAGTAGGATCAACTCCTAACATTGCACCACTTTTCAGCATTTATATTCATTGCTTAAGGGTTTATTCTTACTAATGAAATAAGTTGTGGTGATGCATATATTTGCTGTAAGACATTTGTAATAATGAAGCATTTGTGAGATATACCTTTTATAAGTTATTTACAAACAAGGCATTTGAAGAGGACGAGCACAGTGCATTTTTTTTTAATCTGAAGTTAAGGTGATTTTAAGAAAGAACATTTCTTGTCCATATTTAGAAAGCAAAATATTTTGACCTAGTTTTAAGTTTTTTAAACCCATTAAACTTAATTGTTAAAAAATTAAGTATGTAAACTAAATTTTGAATAAAGAGTTGGTCCTCTGTGTAAAACTTGCTCTGTGAGCAAGTTGAAATTACAATGCCTTTCATGATTCCTTCACAAAAAATGGGATGATGACCCACAATATTAATAAATGTAGGTTTTAAATAATGTTTTATATTTCATAAATTAAACAGTGAAATTTACAAAAAAAAAAAAATTATTCATTTTTAAACTGTTGTTACATTTAGGCATGTGGGTATATGTCATATCCTGTTAAAGTCTTTGTGTATCACATTATATCATGATATACTTCAGACAAATTAGTACACCCGTAGTTTTGAATACAATTCATACATTGATTTCATTTGCCACAATGGTCTCTTTAATATTGCAATAATGCATTTGGTCTTCCTAATGCAGGTACTGTATATACTCTATGTCCAACTTATAGGTGAGTCATAAAAAGATTAGTATTTTGAAACCAGGTTAAAACATCAGAGCATTGATTTGAAATTGTCAATTGATTCTGGCAAAAAGTTGTACCGATTTATAAGCGGGTCAGTAACAAATCCCTCCAAAATAACCTCAAAAAATACAACTGACTTATAGGTGGACCACCTTATAGGCAAGTATATATACGGTATAGTTTTTGTTGAATTTTGCTAACAGCAAAACAATTCATTATATATGAATAATGAATTTTGGAAAAAAAAGATTATTAAGTTTAATGATGCATGTATGTAGTATAGAAATATTGCTCATATGCCTGTACATGGTACAAATATGCATTTTACAGAGTGTACATATGCCAGAATCATATGGACCGCAGACTGGCCCTGGTGATTCCGTAAAGAAAAAAGAGGAAAAATCAGTGCTTGTGCTCATTGGTCATTGGACAAAGGTAAATAGATTTATTTCATGAAACTAAACATGTAAATTACTAGGATATTAAAATATCACAATTAAAATACATGTACTGATTTATATATATATGGATGTCAGTTGGTCTCCTTGATGGAGTTAAATGCATTTGTTATCCCTTTTAAGGAGGTTGGATCCTGCCATCAAAAGTAATGAGAATTTTTTATCAAGTATATTTTCTGAATTTATACACATAGCTTAATTAAAAATCAAAACAAAAAATGGGGGTCAATGCGATTCTTTTGGCGCTACAGAGCATTTAGTTTGACCTTTTTGCACTGTAAAAACGTCTTACACATAAATCAATTTTTGAAGTTTTTCCTCCAATATTTTTTATTCAAGTAAATTATGGGAACAAACACAGACTTATGTCATCTTGAATAGACACCTAAAAATTTGTGACAAAGAAAAAATTTTCAAATTACTCCGCATGTTCAATTATTTGACCTTTTTGCACTCAAAAAATTTCATTTTTCTGGCATTAAAAATTTAACAAGCAAAAATATCATTTGAAAGTAATGACATTTTACTGAATTTAAGAAGAATGGTTAAAAGTATCTTATATATTCAGAAAATAAAATAAAAAGTGGGGGTCTGTAATGTTAATTTTAAGATATTACTAAAATAGTGCTAATTTTAAGCTTAAAATAGGGATATTTTTTTCTTGACTTTCAAAATATATTTGCTATATTTTTTAAATATGATGATAAAATTCATGACAGTTTATTTGATATATAATTTAGGACCAGTATAAAACAGTTCACTTCACAAAATAACTCTGTGTGCAGACTGCATGGAGAAATAGGAATTCAAACTTAACATACTTTAAATACTTCGAAAGAGAAAAAATGATCATTTTCTTCTAAAAAACCTTCTGCCACAAAATATAGTTCCTCACTTAATGCTTTTGGTATGGAAGTAAGTCATGGAGTTTTAACTGAATATAGTTTAATTGGCATTGTAGAATCCAAAATTATTGTAACAATTAAAACTTTACGCAGAATTTTTGAAATATAGGGTAAGATATAAATCTGCTCAAAAGCTCAGGAGAACCTCATTAAGTGGATCATTTAAATATTATGCAGTTTATTAGAAGCTCTTTATTATCTGCACTGTTCACTTTTACAGGGTGTATGCCAGAATTGTTTCAAGAACAGTCTGAATCCGACATGGAAAAAATGAAGAAAAACAGCCTTCCTGTTTATAAATCTACATTCTGACAAAGGGTAATTTTGTTTATTTCAATTAGAAGTGCACATTTAATTTCAGTTGCTTTCCTTAATGATATATTATAGCATTTTTATTCCCTTATGAACAATATGTATACTTGTAAAGCATGTATCACAAAATCTTCTGCAAACAAAGTTTTGGGTGTATAGTGTTTGTTGTTTAACGTCCCTCTTGAGAATTTTCACTCATATGGAGACGCCACCACTTGTTGGTGGAGAGCTGCAAATTTTTGTCCTATACTCAGCACTTACAGCCATTGAGCATTGAGGGATCTTTATCGAGCCAGCACCTACTGTGACATGGGACCTTGGTTAATACCTCTGTCTCATCTGAAGAACGGGTCTCCACGTCCCACTGTGGGATTCAAACTCGCGATGTAAGGATCAGCTTCTTTCTCCGCGACTCTAGAGTAGACGCTCTAACTATCTGCTCTACTTCGGCAACTTTGGGTGTATATAAGCATAGGAATCATCATGTCCATCTGTCTGTTCATGTGTTTGGCCACTTTTATGATTAGCTTTTTTGTTCCAATTCTGGCTGAGATAAATTGATTTAAGTCATCTAAATACAAACAAATTAAGGGAAATTACTATGGTATTGGAATGAACATTTTGGAATACTGTCTAATTGTTTCATTGTAGTTGGTTTCTTTAATGTTGAAATAATGCATCTGGTCTTCCTAATGCATGGCATACACTGTATGCATGTGTAATGTTAAAGTTGGCTGAATGTAAAACAGTTCTTGTATTATGACAAAGGTAAATAGATTTAGTTCATGTAACTAAACATGTAAATTATCAGAGTGTTAAAATCTCAAGTTTTGAATACTGATTTATATGTGGAGAGTAGTTGGTCTCCTTAATGCAGTAATAATACATTTGATCTCCCTTATGCATACTGTATATTATATAAAGAGCCAGGTACGTTAGTAGTGAAAATCAGCCCTTCTTTGAAAATTTAAAACAATTATAAAGAAATGACTTGAAGATGTACACTTTATAAATATATCAACAATTTTTACCTATCCTTTATAGTTTAGTTGCAATAGCCCTCTAAAAATGGAATGTATTTTATTTCATTTAACCGTTTTTAGCACTTTGACGTCATTATCGCCGTCGATTAAGAACATTTAAATAACAACTGTAATGTATCAATGTATGTTATACGTAAAAAATCTTAAATTAAAATGTTTACATTGGATAGTTTATTTACTTCAAGAAAATATTGTACAAAAAAGAATGTTTTAAAGAATAAATGACCTCCATAGTATCGATATACCCGAATATCATAACTGCAGTCAAAATTGCTTGCATAAGGTGCAGTGTGTTTTTCTCCACAAATAAATTTATTTTTTCTGGAATGTTTAAAAAAAATAGATAGAGAATGCAAATAGATGCTTGAAATGAAGCTTTTATTAACAAACAAGAACAGTAAATGAGGAAAAATAACTTACTAACTTTAGCATTAATTTTGACCTATTTGCACTAAGGTTCAAATTATAATATTATAATACCGAAAATCGCCCTATTTGAGATAAATCAATACAATTTTAAAAAAGTATTAAATTATTCTTGCAAAATAGATCAATGGACAGCAAAATAATAAGAAATTATATCACCAGGATGTAATGATACATGTAACTCAGGCACGAAGTACTGGGGGGGGGGGGGCTGTCCCCTTTTTTCGAACAGTACCTTTTCTATCGAAAATGTCCATTGAAGGGCTAGTTGCTCCTCTCCCCCACTTTTTGTTGCATAGTTATGTGGTGATGTATGAAAAAAAATCGATGTGGAAGAGATTGAGAAGTTGGACCTCCCTCCCACGAAATAGGATTTTCAAGTTTGATTCTCCCCCCCCCCCCCCCATCCCGCCCTCATTTAAAAACCTATACTACGTGCCTGCAACTTAAGAAATATTTAGTAAAATTCATTGACTTCAGAATCCTGAAATTCTGAGTTACTCCAAGGTTTTGTTTAAAGTAAAAATATATTCTAGGTCGCTATTGCGCTGAGAAAGGGACGAAGGGGGGGGGGTGAAAGTAAGCTACTGGCATAACAAATAACCAAAAAAAAAAATCAAAGCTGACCCTAAGGTTCCTTGTGAACTGTACGTCAAAGTTAACGTCTTTTATTTGTCAAAACGTATAGACTGGATCTAATTTACATATCTTTGAGTCAGAGTCAGGCTCTAGTGGACATGCCTTCATAATTTCCATCAGCATTTTTTTTTAATTTACGATGACCTTGCAAATTGATCTTTGATTTTGGACCACAGACAAAGGTGTCAACTAACAAAGAATAAATTAAAATCAATCTTCCTAACTTACCAACAGTGAACTTGCAAAGCCATACAAAACAGCTGATGTAAATTCAAATAATGGTAGTGATAAAATTTAATTTCATTTGTCTAATGGGGAATTCAGACAATACTTTTCTTTCAAAACTTTGTGAAATATGAAATGAATTGCTTTGTCAAATGAGCTAAAAAATATTTCGATAATTCCCAGTAATTTTAACAATCGTGAATTATGTCTCTGACGCCGTTTGTACCATATCAACACATAACTTTATGATTGGACGCTGTTCCGTTTTCTTGAGCATTACTTGTGATTTTTCTGAACATATCCATCATCCCTCCAAGATATCAAAAAATGAAGACGGTCGACTCCTCTCATACACGATATATTTAATTTTTATTAAGCTTTGACTTGGTTTATAATAATATAGGTATATTTTTTCAACCCTACATAAAAAGGTTGTAACATTTTAACCCTGGGCCATATGCACATGACCTTAAAGATGGCGATTTTTTTTTTTTTTTTTTTACAAAAAAGTTATAATGTTGGGTTGCCTTAAGTTGTATGCAAAGAACAGCGATAAGGTTACCAGTGTCTCGAAACGCGGGGTACTTACGTAAGCATAAGGTTAAACAAACATGACTTTTAATAATGCATCAACCAGGGTCATGTTGAATTCATTCTTTTAGATCTAGTGGTTTCAGCTTTAGAACCTGACTGTTGATCATTTGGGGACAAACAACAAGAAGAAACTAAGATATGAAAATAATTCTCCTGAGTCTTTATATTGTAACGCTAAATATTTTTTATATCCAATTAAAAGACAAAACTGTACGTGTACAAAATTTAGCGGAAGGACTTCCTATGGACTAGATGGCGTTACCATAAATTAACACTACAGATTATGGGTCCTTGCATTGTACTCAGTTATGATTTATTTACGGTATTCATGAATTAGCGCACTGTTGTCTACGCCAAAGCCACTAAAATATGAAGCCGGCTTTTTAAAGTACACATACAGTATCTTCCTGGTACGTACGTCAGGGTCGGGGGGAGGTACCTTGAGATCCCTGGCCAAGTAGTTCAACTTCCCAATTTCCGAGATTTTAAGTATGATGTATAAGCTCATAAATAGCCTATAACAAGATTTTTATTATTACATGTAATATTATTTGATTTAGTAATAATCAATGAATTTGCAAATTTCCTGTCACAAAAGGGAGGGTGTAAAATGACTGAGTTAAAAAAAACTATAGATATATAAAATAAATTTTAAGTCATATTTGGGCGTATTTTTTGATAAGTTCAGGTAACCAAAATTAAAAAAAAAATCTTTCTATTTGTTTTATTACTTTAGATAAGATAGGAGTTTCCTGTAAATTACACAATTTAAATCAATCACGTTTCAAAGATATTAAAAATTTAAAGCAATAACCGATTTATTTACCAACTCCACATTAAAATAACAGACAAATTTAAAGTCAATTTAACTATAGAAACGTGAGGTTATATAAGTTCAAAATCGGTGAAAATTTTAATTCGAACGTAAATAACATTTATCATATATATTTACACTAAGTCTTGTATTATTAATTTCAAGCTCAGATACACAATAAATAGCTTTAAAAAATATTTTCAGTATCTTAGAATTTCATAAAATTATATGAAGCTGTCCCATTCAGAAGTTTTCATTTTAGTCGAACAATATTTTATTTATTCTCATCTTAACTTTTCTGAGGAAAACTTAAACAGTTATATATAATTTCCCCATTCTTCTTTCTTGAATTTAACCGCATTGTTTCACTGTTCTCAGGGACATAAATAACACATACTTATGCCTCTACTGTTCTCAATTATCATTTCAATTATTTTTTGAGAAGACATAAAAACATTTTAAATGGTTATGTTTTCTTTTTCGTTTCTATGATGGTATATAGATTTAATTCATTGAAAGATTATCATACTTAAAATACACTAAGTATAAGTATGTACTAATTAAGCCTTTGGAGAAAGGGTGTAAGTGCTATAATATTAAAATAATTCATCTGTGCATTGAAACATGTAAACTTTCCAGCATTTTTACAGATAATAAAAAGTCGTTAATTTGAGATTTTTTTATATCTAAAATGAATCATCTGACTACAGTTTTCTTTTACTGTGAGAAATTCTCAATTATTTTTTATCAAATGTTTGATAAAACAACGTATTGTTTACAGTAAAATATCGAACGAAAGACTGAAAAATTGGAAAAACTTTTGGCGCGTCACTGTATGTTGTCAATGTAAACAATGAGGACGTCTATATTTAGAGTTCGATGTACAACCTAGAGACGTTAGGTTTTTGCCTTAAAATTATCATAAGATACTTTTTTTTTTTTAATAAATTTAACAACCCAATAACATCTCAGTTATATCTTTTAACAAAACACCGTCTGATATTTAGACATTTCATGTGTACATTTGCCTGTGTATTGGTTGCCTGGAATGAAAACGAAAGTAAAAAGGGTGGTCGCGGATACGAATTTTTAACAACTGAGTTATTAAAATAATGCATTTTATCATTTAGTTTTCTACAAAATAAACATGTGTTCAATTGTTATTTATTTTCTACGAATATGATAAAAATACCAAGCTAATATTCCATTCCCCTCACGTCAAGGTCTGTATAGCAGACGACCGATAATATCAGAATTTGTAAAAATTCAATGTGGCCACAGCCCACGGCCAGAACGAAACCTGTCTAAATCAATCCCTTTTATGCTTTAGTATTTCTTGTTAAAATATCTTCGTAGCCGATGCTTGTGGCCACATCGAATTTTCCCAAAAACCGGGTGAAAAGTGAAGAAAATTGCTTGTTTTCCGGATATGGCATAGGTTTGGATATTACATAGCAGCAGAAGAAGCTTGGATCTGCCCAAACGTTTACATATACAAGGACTAAGGATCATAAACTTTATAAATATACATGGTTAATGAGGATACGCAGACTTTATTTTTTAAGCTTTTTGCAGGGCCTTTTGACATTAGCTAACGTACCTAGCTCTTTAATGACTGACATGTACGAGGGTTGATCCAAAAGTTCGTGGAATTTCTTCATATTTTATTTATTTATTAGTGAAAGTGGTTGAATACTGATTTACATGTGGATAGTAGTTGGTCTCCTTAATGCAGTAATAATACATTTGGTCTCCCTTATGCATACTGTATATTATATAAATTTAATGACTGACATGTACGAGGGTTGATCCAAAAGTTCGTGGAATTTCTTCTAGTGTTGTACCGATAATCAGAAAACATCGATTGTCGACAAAAAATGCTACTGATTCCGATGATCGATTATAGTTTTTCATAATCGATCATCGGAAACATACTTCTAATACAATACATTCCAGAATTATCCATTTCTGGTTTAAAATTTATTTCTTCTTAATGAAAGAAAATGGCATCTGCATCTGATACTAGCCAACTAGCACGAAGCAGAGGTGATTAAGAACCGAAGATGCATATATAGGGCCTAAAAAAAATTATTTTTGTTTCCTGTAATAACCCGACCGACCCATTCAATTTACCCCAGGTGAATATTTTTTTCTGCCAAATCTGTGTTTGCTCTTTGGTTTGATCAATCAGCTGATTCTTTTTATTAAGAAAATATTAATTGTATCTTTTATTTGAGATATAAAATATGCAACTTAGTCAACATTTACCTTAAATATAAAGAGTGATCAATTCCCCCCACAACTTTTTGAAGTTCGTTTTCTGCCGCTAGGCAGCCATGTTGGGTGTCCACTGTAAATATTTTTAGGTCTAGAAAGTGTAAAAGAAGCAAAACAACAAAGAAAATAATATATTATGTATTTTATATATTCATGTTAAAGAAATAAATGAAATTATTGTAATAGTCTGCTTTTTGTATGCAAAACTATGAAGAAATCAGATTATAATTGGTGAAATCGCATCAGAAGCAGTAACCGATTCCAACCGATGATCGATTCTGAAAATTAACCGATGTCTCATCACTAATTTCTTCATATTTTTTTTAATTTATTAGTGAAAGCGGTTGAATACTGATTTACATGTGGAGAGTAGTTGGTCTCCTTAATGCAGTAATAATACATTTGGTCTCCCTTATGCATACTGTATATTATATAAATTTAATGACTGACATGTACTAGGGTTGATGCAAATGCTCATGGAATTTCTTCATATTTTATTTTTTTTTAGTGAAAGTGGTTGAATACTGATTTACATATGGATAGTGGTTGGTCTCCTCAATACAGTAATAATACATTTGGTCTCCCTTATGCATACTGTATATTATATAGATTTAATGACTGACATGTACGAGGATTGATCCGAAAGTTCATGGAATTTCTTCTTATTTTATTTATTTATTAGTGAAAGTTCTATGGTCGATACAATGACCTTGTCAGCAAATACAATTTATCATTAAGTAAAATGCTGACTGACGTTTTTCTTATTATTATTGTTAGGCCATTATTTACACACTGAATTGTGTATGGATTTTTCCATTGTTTCCCAGTCGTGACAAGGAGCACACAGCGGGTGTGACTGGTCTGCAGGGGATGCTCACTCCTCCATGGCACCTGATCCCACCTCTGATGTTTTGGAGGTCGTGTTTGCTCTGCTCCTATTTCGTATTTTTTGATGGGCTTTTGAGCTTGAATACTGATTGTTCTCTCGATATATTTCATTCTACTCAACTGTGTGTTCATGTGATCCTACCTCAGTACTTACAGAATGATACATCCTTTGTTTGAGGGTCATTCTTGATGTCTGACTGAGTAATGGCAACGGGACATAAAACCTTAACTGACCTTACCACATTCTTTTCTAATCTGAAAACCCTCATGCATTTTTAGCATAACATATCGCCAATGCACACATTTTTCCCGAGGAATGAACTGCATCTACTCTGCATAGAACAGTATCTCTCCCACTGGCACAACAGTACTATTACACGTCATTATGTTCTTGAAAGGCAAACTCAGCAATTATTGTTCGGCATGATTTTTTTTCGTGACACCTGCAGTATTGAGTAACACAAAGTGAATGAATCATGTCCTCGAACAAAGTGTGCGTACAATGAGGTTTAGTTCCGGTTGATTGCGTTTAGTTAAAGAGAATTTATGATCTGCATTTCCATAGATGTCTTTTATATCAACACCAAACATGCATTTAAGGAAGAAAATATATTAAGTAAAATGCAAAAGCCTGTATTAAAAAATCAAAGGACAAGTGCACTTAAGCAATGCTTAATGGGCCCTTTTTCAGTGTCATATTAATTTAGAATGTATTACCAAATTGTTCTCTTTTGGTAATAGTTAAACACAAGTGGACATTTCTAATTAAAATCACATTAAAACATCACCTAAATCAGCATGGATTTGAAACAAATGAAGTTTTTTAAATGCCTATAGATACCCCAAATCCGGAAAAGTCGTACAGAACCTATTTTGAGTTTCGTTTATTTAAATCAAGGGGATGAGACATTTTAATCAGACACTTGAACAATCTGATGGTGGATCATTGACAGGCGCGTTTGCCGAATGATACTTCTTGTGCTATTTTACCCGAGAAAAAAATCGAATGAAGTTGTATAGATACCTGTATCCATAGTGATCAAACTACGAAATTTGCATGCTTGCATTTGAAATAATACAATAAGTATTAACATTAGTTCCTTTAAATTTTAAAATGAAAAAAAGTGTATTTAGGTGGCTTTCAATACCAGTACCATTGTCTTGCATGAATGTTAAACATAGGTCATACAGGTAAATAGCTCTTGCTTGTTATAGGAAAAACATTGAACTTTTCATACATTTTTAATATTTTAAGTACATTGTCAAGCCTAATCATGTACAAATTTCCTACTTTCACACAATTTTCGTAAATGTATAATGCGTTTTTTGTCAATCGCACAAGTTTGTACAATGTTAGGCTGACAATAAACAAAAGCTTTGAAATGAATGACCGTCCTCGATTTACTATAGAAAATCACAAATGTCGGCTGACCCCCTACCACATTGTATGGCTTTGCTCTTTGTATATTTGTGAATTCATGAATGTATAATGCATTTTTTGTCAATCGCACAAGTTTGTACAATGTTAGGCTGACAATAAACAAAAGCTTTGAAATGAATGACCGCCCTCGATTTACTATAGAAAATCACGAATGTCGGCTGACCCCCTACCACATTGTATGGCTTTGCTCTTTGTATATTCATGAATTTCAGCGATAAAATTTGTTGAATCTTATGGTTTAGATATCAATTATTGATCTGAGATGGAAAATTATGCTTAATTTAATTCTTCATTTTTTCACATTTTACCAGGGCCCATAAGTGCACTCATTCTTCAGTGTTTATACAGGTAAAAAGTTTGAAAAAATAAAAATGTTCCAACAAATGGTTTCGAACCAGGACACTAAATATGTTCATGGTGAGAGTCTGCGGTCTATCGTTCTGGGCTATGCTGACTATGAGGACATTTATAATAAATATAAACCAGTATGATAGAAATAGGTTTTCACGTTTTTTGTAGGTTTTTTTTATGAATTTCGACCCTAGGCACCTCTAAAAGAAGCTTGTTTTAAATAATTGCTTACTAGATCAAAATCTATCAAAATTTCATAATTTAATTTAGGGGCAGGCAAAGGGTGATTATATTGCATCTATCGGGTATAATTTTCTTATCAGAAAATTGTAGAGATATGCAAGGTTAATTAATGACAACATTTATTTTTCCTTTTTGCCTAATACTTTTATGATTTTCAATAATAAATTGATTATTGAAAAAAGCCTTTAATATGACTGCTGATTTTATCTCCATCTGTTAATTTTCAACACCTTTTCTCATGATTATAGTAGATAGAGAACAGATTATGATTTCTAACATTTACTTTTACAGATCATTTCCTTGAGATAGGTGGAACCAACAGTCAAATACAGACACTTTTAAGAAAAGTAAAAATCTGGCTCAGGTAAAAAAAAAAAAAAAAAATCATTTACAGTTTTAACAATTAGTAATTTTACCTTAATTAACTGGAAAAATCTCATTTGACAAAATACAGGTCAAGAATGAAGAGTTTAAAGCCTAGTAGGGATTTTGGTCAATCATTATAGGTAATCTGCAGTCCCTCTCGAGAATTTTACACTAATATGGAGATGCCACCACTTGCCAGTGGAAAGCTGCAGATTCTGTCATATACTCTGCACTCATGGCCATTGAGCAGTGAGGGGTCTTTTTCATCCCAGCACCTACTGTGACACGGGACCTTGGTTTATAAGGTCTCATCCGAAGGACTGGTCTCCATGTCCCACAGTGGGATTCAAACCTGCGACATAAGGATCAACTCCTTACTTCGCGACTCTAGAGCAGACGCTCTTAACCATGGCGCCACGCTTGTGACTAGCTCAGTTTTAAAGAAATCATTCAAGGTATTTTTCATCAAACTTAATATGCTGATACAATATATATATGTAACATATATAATTAGTAAGACCTATTCAACTATTTCATAAACTTTTAACCTTTCCTGTGACCTTGACCTCACTTTCCTTCAATTTGCATTTTGCATGGTTTTAAAACCTTTTAAAATATTGATATCTAAGGCTATGCATCTATACATAATTTGGTGAGAATTTACCATCTATATCCATTTTTTTTAGATTTCATTTTCAATTTTAAAGAAACTTTTCAAGATATTCTCATCAAACTTCATACACTAACACAAAATTTCATGTTGCATTACTATACACTCGGCAGACATACATGTCCTATGGACATATTTCTAGTGTATTGCTATTTCTGTTGTTTGTTTACTTCTGGTCAGTAAGTGCCCCCTAAGGGCAAGCCCCAGTCCTGTTTTCTTTTCCAGGGTTGCAACAGCGCCCCCTAGAAAAACAAGTTGCACCATCCAATCAAATCGTGTTTTGTGCTGCTTTATGCCAATGAAATTAAGGCTGGACAGCATATGTATTATATTCTGACCAATGGGGTTGCCGTATTTTCAAATAATTAGGATAGATTTACCACTTCAGCATTCCTTTCATCACTGAAGTGATATACATGGTCAAAAATTGACTAACTTTCATTTTTGTGTCAACTGCAGAGCAGAACGACACTTAGAGATCACTTTACCTGGTGTCTGTCTGTCCGTCTGTCACACCTTATATCTCCAAAATTTTGAGAGGCAGGGTTTTGATAATTAGCATTTATGTATGTTTTTGAGCTCATGATACTATACTTTGAAATTGTATGAAATTCAGTTACCACACAAACTTATATTTAAATACTATTAAATTACACTGGGATCAGTATTCCACAATGAATCGTGTTGACTGACAAAGGGACAATTAAAGTAAAGACAGTCTGAAATTCCTTTCCTCCGAGGAATGTTGGAAGCACCTACATGTGTATTAATAAAGTGATAAATAGTTATTCCTCATAATTTCAATTAAATTATTCATTTGAGGACTGGGGAACCATATTTTCTTTGATTGCCAGATTCTATCCCAGTCTTTTACTTTTGGATCCTTTTTTTTCCTTGCAGGCAAATGCATGAACCTCCGTGCTAATATTAAATTAATAGCTGACAACTCTTAGATTTATTTACCTCTTTAATGACGATACCTAGCAGGTGACATATACATTCCTTGAAACACTTTAGTTCCTATTTGATTTTCACTAATATAAAGATTATTGAAAAAAGACTATAAGGTGCTCTATAGTGATCAGTCTATTCATTCATCTGTCTGTCAAATACACATATCCCTTGTTCAGAATACAGGTGACTCTAAATACTTCAAACTTTATATTTTTTAATTAGATACATGTAGCTGCTTTGGAACATCTGAAAGGTCTATTACATTATCACTAGTTTTACTAGTTTTCTTCATGTAAGTTGAATATATTTTAAACTTTTAAATTTTTTTTTTCCAGGTAAGAAAGAAATTCAGGAGTTCTTAAATTGCCCTTGGAGTTCTTGGATTGCATCAAACTGCTAAAAGACCTCAACAAAAACAGCGTCTTGAAAATAAAAATGAAAATATTCAGTGAAAAAAAATTATGAAAGAGCCACTAAAAATCTTCAAGCCTTTGAGCTGAAATCTGGAAGTCAATCTGTGGACTTTACTAGTATGTCTTACTAAGTCATTTTGTGTATAATAAATACACTAAACTGTAAACACTTGTTAAAATGTGTATAATTTTTAGATATAATTTGTAGCTCACAGACTTCAATAGTTTCATGTAATTTAAGTAATAATGAAAATTTCCTGTTGTCTAGCTAGATTAGAAACTATTATTGTCCAATTTTGGATATTGTGAAATAATTCATCTAGTATGCATACATGTGTGTACACTTACGTGTAAATTAATTGTTATAGCAAATTCAATCGATCATTAAGTTGAATGTTGACTAATGTTTTTCATCAAAATTGTTTACACTGAATTGTTTGTGGTTTTTTCCATTTGTCCAATCATGTCAAGGAGCACATGGCAGGAAATGCTTTCTCCTCCATTGCACCTGGTGTTTTTAGAGGTCTGTGTTTGCTCTGCTCTAATTATGCATTGTTTCAATGGACTTTAAAGCTTGATCACTTTTGGTAATCTTCATATTTCATATACTATTAGAGTACTTGAAGAAAACTGTAAAGATTTAACATACAGTATAATGCATGTATATTGCACTTTAAGTACAGTGTATGTGGTTAAGAAATGTTAAATCGTCTCATAGTGCATTGAATTTGTTGAAAATTAGAAAATGTGTTGAAATTCTTTTTGAAATAATGTTAGATTGCAGATTTTTTTAAATCATGCAAGTAAGAAATTGCTAAATATTTTTTAGCTTTTCTGGACAGTCTAGATGAGTTCTTACTAAATACCTAGCATTGTATCCCAGTTAAAATTTAAGGAGCAAGGTTCATTCCTAAGCTCTACCTGGACAAACTTGCATGGATTAAAGCACATTAACAGATTTACTTCAGATGCTTGACCTGATCTACATTTTCCTCATGTGTTTTTTTTTTGTTTTTGTTTGTTTGTTGTTTAACATCCCTCTCAAGAATTTTTCATCCATATGGAGATGCCACTACTTGCTGGTGGAGAGCTGCAAAATTTGACCTATACTTTGCACTCAGGGCCTTGAGCAGTAAGGGATCTTTTTTGTGCCCACATCAACTGCTAGGCGGGACCTCAGTTTATATGGTCTAATCTGAAGGACTGGTCCCCACATCCCCAGTGGATTTGAACCTGAGACTTAAGGATTAAATCCTTACTCGTGACTCTAGATTACAAACTCTATCCTTTGCGCCACATGGGGGACTCCACAAGATTAAGTGTTTTGAGCAGTCCTATTCTCATGTAATTATAAACTCTATGTTGAACAAACCTGCAAAGATGATGTATGTACATGTAAATGTTTCAGGGTACCAATCCTTGATTTGACTTAGATTTTCTGGATTAATGACCAGTTTTTAGCTCTACTGGTCAGAGACCAGAAGAGCTTATGCGATAGTAAGGTGTCCGTCGTCCGTCCGTCTGTCTGTCTGTCTGTCTGTCCGTCCGTCTGTAAACAATTTTTCAAAATGCTACTCCTCCTACAGTTTTGGTCTGATTTCAATATAACTTGGCACACAAGTAGACTACACTAAGATACATAATTCTGTATATCGGTTTTTGATTTTGATGAACGGTGTTGCCATGGCTACTAAAAATAGAAATTTTTGTGAAAAACATTCAAAATGCTACTTCTCCTACAGTTTTGATCTGATTTCAATATAACTTGGCACACAAGTAGACTATACTAAGATGCATAATTCTGTGTATCAGTTTTTGATTTCGATGAACGTTAGTGCCATGGTTACTAAAAATAGAAATTTCTGTGAAATACTTTCAAAATGCTACTCCTCCTACAGTTTTGATCTGATTTCAATATAACTTGGCACACAAGTAGACTATACTAAGATGCATAATTCTGTATATCGGTTTTTGATTTCGATGAACGTTGTTAGCATGGTTACTAAAAATAGAAATTTCTGTGAAATACTTTCAAAATGGTACTCCTACAGTTTTGATCTGATTTCAATATAACTTGGCACACAAGTAGACTATAATAAGATACATAATTCTGTGTATCAGTTTTTGATTTCAATGAACGGTGTTGCCATGGCTTCTAAAAATAGAAATTTCTGTGAAATACTTTCAAAATGCTACTCCTCTTACAGTTTTGGTCTGATTTCAGTATAACTTGGCAAACAAGTAGACAACACTAAGATACATAATTCTTTGTATTGATTTTCTGATTTCGATGAACGGTGTTGCCATGGTTACTGAAAATAGAAATTTCCTTCAAAATGCTACCCCTACAGTTTTGGTCTGATTTTAGTATTACTTCACACACAAGTAAACTACACTAAGATACATAATTCTCTATACCAGTTTTGGATTTCGATGAACAGTGTTGCCATGGTTACTAAAAATAGAAATTTTCTTGAAATACTTTCAAAATGCTACTCCTCCTACACTTTTTGTCTGATTTCAGTATAATGTGGCATACAAGTAGACTACAGAGATACATAATTGGTGTTATTGTTTTTTGATTTTGTTGAATGATGTTGCCATGGTTACTTAAATCAAAATTTCTGTAAAATTGTTTTAAAAGGCTACTCCTCCTACAGTTTTAGTCTGATATAATAATAAATCTTGCCACAAAAGAGACTAAACCAAGGATCATTATTCTATTTATTGCTGTTGCGAAGTTTCAAGTCCAAGTGCTACTTTTATCTTCCTTTATAAATACAACCAGTAGAGCTACAGTCTCGTCAGAGACTTCTGGTTTAGAGAAGGTTCATTCAAAGTAACAATATACTCTTTGGTGATCAGTAAACATAGATGATGTATCCTGCTTCTGATGCTGGATGTAACATACATTTTCAGGGTTATTGAGCAGTTTAATCTAACCCAGACCAACTTGCATAGATTTTGGATCCAGGTGATATACATTACCAGAGTGTTTGTTGAGTGAGACTTTGCCTTACTAGTAGATAACATTTATAGAAGTGAGCTTTGTATTCTTTGATTAGGTATGTTTTTTCTTTGCTCAGGATATATATACCATCAGTGCCAACTACCATACATTTTATATAATAGATGTAGTTGTTGTTCAACTGAATATGATAAAACTGTGGATGAAAATAATTTGATTTTTGTACCTTTGAATGTATTGAATTAATTTGTAAAAGCTGTTATGATACAATGTTTGATATTTTATAAAAGTTTTTAGCATATGCAATCAATAAATTTATCAATATTTTTATTTTATTATACTTTTTACCCTGCAAACTTCTTAAAAACAGAATAGTAGTGATCCATTTAACTGATACTAGGTTAGTGTCACATTGTACTGGTATATCATGTATATCATGGTACACTGTAAATTGAACTGTAAATAAGAAACATCTAAATAGGTAAAATCACAGCATGAATCATTGGATTATGTAAGAAGTGCACTATCTTGTGCTTTGGTATGGTATTAATAATAAATGTTAAACTATTATTTTTTTTTTCAAATTAACAAAGGATATGCTTGGGTGACTGTATTTTGACTAGCAGTAAAAATAAAATGATTTTTAAGCATTTGATTATTTTGATTCATGGTCTCTCTAAGTTTAATGATAGCAAATATGTATATTGAACATGGCATCCACATATTGCTATACTGGATGGGGCATAACTTTTACTGAATCTTAATCACAACCTTGAAATTTTATGTAGTACATGTACTCTTGGTTTCAACTGGTCAAATGTATTCCTAAATCACAAAGAATTTAAACAAATATAGGCATAGGTCAGAACTTCATCAATTAGTTGGAAAGCGAATGCACTCGGTGACTATATGGTTTAAAAGAAGCTGGGTATAAATAGCAGGAAAAACTACTTGATGTCCACTGTGAACTTTGTGTCCTCAACAAAACAATATGGAGTATACTATACTTGGTCTAAAGAATAATCTATGCCTGCATTCACTTTTAGGTTAAACTGTTTTGGGCATTGAGAGTTTGTTTGTTGTTTAACGTCCCTCTGGAGAATTTTTCACTCATATGGAGATGCCAACACTTGCCGATGGAGAGCTGCAAATGACCTATGCTCGGCACTCAGGGCCAATGGGCAGTGAGGGATCTTTTTCATGCCAGCATCTACTGCGACACTGGACCTCTGTACGAAGGACCGGTCTCTACGTCCCACAGTGGGATTCAAACATGTGACAAAAGGATCAACTAACTCCACGACTCTAGAGCAGAGGCTCTTTCCACTGCACCACGAGGGCGACAGCATTGAGAGTTAAATGTGGATATCAGAACAAGCTACTCTGGGCTTATACTCTCTATATATTGATTGATTGTATGTTGTTTAACATTCCTCTCGAGATTTTTTCACTCATATGGAGACACCACCACATGCCGGTGGAGATCTGCAAATTTTGTCCTATACTCAGCACTTACGGCCATTGAGCATCGAGGGATTTTTTTCGTGCCAGCATCTACTGCGACACAGGACCTCGATTTATACGGTCTCATCTGAAGGACCGGTCTCCCCATCCCACAGTGGGATTTGAACCTGCGACGTAAGGATCAACTCCTTACTTTGCTACTCTAGAGCAGACGCTCTAACCACTGCGCCACGGGGGCAACTACTCTCTATTTAAGTCACTTGTGCAATGACTTTAGTTTAATTCAAAGTTTGTACTGATCATGTTGAGTCACATAAGCACAAATATCTTTCTGCTGACCTTGACTAATGACCATCCGCAACTATTCTGGTTGGAAACAATATGTTAATTAATGCATAATAAGTGAAATTACTATGAAAGAAAAATGGTCTACTTAAACCACAAGTTATATTTATAAAAAATATACACTGGTCTCCTTAAGTCATATGAGAGAAACATAAAATATTAGGGAGACCATTTTTTTCATATATTTTTAGGAGGCATTTATTATGAAAAAATAAAGCAAGAGTCGACTAAATGGTGTTCTATAGATCTTTGATCGGGTATTTCTTTTTAGAA